CGTGTAATTTCCTTCATGAACCAAAATGAAAATGTGCATTTCACTTGTTGATGTATTATGAATAAAATTGGATCAAAATGAGACATGAAAAGACCTATAATGAGTTCAAATGAAACCGCACTTAAAAGTCCATTTTCCACTTGAATTTTCACCCCCATGTCCATAACCAAACACAATTCATTCAATCCTTGAGTTTCATGGTGTAAAAGAGGTCTTTTGGAGCAACTTTCATGTTGGTTGAAAGTCCATTTGAAATGCACAAGTACATCAAAATGACCTATAATTCAACTGGCCTATAATCAAAGATTCCCAAAATACCCTTCCCTTGTAAGCTCCATAACTTGAGTTTCACAAATGATATCAAGGACTTCTAGGACTTTTTGGATAGATAAGATCACGAGGAAAAACTTTCATGTTCACTCCAAGTTGAGGAATAACTTGATTCTAGGTCAAAAGTGCCTTGGAAATTAGTTGACTTTTGTTGACCAGAAAATATGTTCATCTGAGACCTCTAACTTGATGACATCATAACTTGAGTTCCACAAACCCAATGGATGAGTTATAGTAATCAAAATAAAGCTTAGAACATGCTCTAAAAGTCTCATGTTTGCATCAAAGTGAGATGAACCTTGTATCATGAGGTAAGTTGTCCTTGAAGTTTGGCACTAAAGAAGGGGATTTTACACTAAGATCCTTTGAACCCTAATTTAATAACTTCTTGAACTCTTGATTCTTCTTCATTTGAACATATCATGACATCCTAGATGTCTCACAATAACTTCCCATGACTCTGATGACTTAGAAAAAAGTCTCAAACTCTCTCAAGTCCACAGTTGACCTTGAGCTAACCAGATGAAACCCTAGGTGCACAACCTTTGACTGTGACCTCTTGCAAGTGATATGACCACTCAGATAAACTCCTCAATGGCTTCCAAAGCACTCCATGAGCTTCTCATATATCTCTTATCCCTAACAATGAATAGGTGAACCCCTGATGATCCTCTGTCGACCTCCAAGATAGGAGGCAAGCCGCATGCAACAATTCTCTCTCAAAGAGCCTTGACCACTTCCTGATGATTGTAGGCCCTTGATAACTTGAATTAGAACCCTTGCTTGAGCTTGAAACCCTTGTAAACATTCTCTTTTAATGCGCACCTCTCTTGATCCCCTGAAAAGGACAATGCTATGCAAATGCAAAATGCTAAAAATGAAATGAAACATAAGCCAAGTAAAGAAAAAAGGTTGGTCAAATTTTGGGGTACAACACATGGTCTCATGTCAAAGGTATCCTAGAGAGGGTTATCTTGGAGTTCAAAAGAAAATAATACACTATTAGGGAAATAAAATTACTATGCATTAGTATAATTAAGATATAGATACTAATAATAAAGTAATAATAACGACAACATTGGAATGCATAAGAGATAAACTTTTATACCAATCATGCATACGATGTCCTAAGACTAACAAAAATAAAAGCAAAAACTAAAGATTATGGTTTAGCTCCCACAAAGAGCTCTGTTTAATTTCAGAAGCTCGACATTAGATTTGAAAAAGGTGCCTTTAGTCAGGAAGAGTGGGAGGTCTTCCAACTTGCAGTATGTGCAAAATTCTTTGTTTTCTATCGAGTGGCATTGCTTGAGTCTTTGGCCGTTCACGATGAATGTCTCATTTAACTTTCCTTTAATCTTAACTGCTTCACTCTGTAGGAATTTTGTAACTTCAAAAGGACCGAACCACCTAGAATGCGGTTTTCCAAGAAAAAGTTTAAGTCTAGAGTTAAATAGAAGAGCTATATCTCCTTCATTAAACTGCTTCTTCGCTATTCTTTTATCATACCATTTCTTGGATCTTTCTTTGTATATTCGAGCATTTTCACATGCGTCTAGTCTTAGTTCCTCCAATTCATGGATATCCAAAATCTTTTTCTCGCCGGCTCCCTTATAGTTCATATTCAAGGTCTAAATGGCCCAATAAGCTTTGTGCTCAAGTTCTACAGGCAGATGTCATGATTTTTCATAAACCAGGTTGTATGGTGTGGTTCCTATAGGGGTCTTGTAAGCTATTGTTAAGCCCACAAAGCTTCATGAAGTTTAGTAGACCAATCTATCCTACAGATTGCAACTATTTTTTCTAAAATTTGCTTGATCTCCCTATTCGATACCTCCACTTGTCCGCTTGTTTGGGGGTGATAGGGTGTCGCTACTAGGTGTCTTACTCCGTATTTAATGTCGCACCTCGAAAAAATTACAAATTGAGAATGTACGACCCTCGCGCGAAAGGCGCGGAAATGCTGTTCGACAAAGTCGCCACCAAACTTTATTATCCCGAATAACGGGAGAGGAAAATATCGATGTCATACCCCAAATTTGTCCTACTTCAGTATTTAGTGATTATTTTACTGCTTCACGAGTTCTGGCTATGATTCTCTAAGACTCCGTTTATAAAGACCATGTGTGTGCTCATCATGGTTATAATCCCTAGCAATTTATGTTGAATTCTTGTGGGAAGAGCGTGCTTCCACCCCTTATACTCAAACTCATGTGTGTCCTCGTTCTCACGATCAGACAGATATGATATGGTTAATTGCATCAAATACATTGTTTAAGCCTCACTACAAGTTGCTTGTTACGATATGCACTTAATTCAAGATACTTCACATGATGCTTCTAGACATGACCGATTTTGTCTCAAGATTGGTTCAATGGCAAGCGTCAAGCTATATTTGGATTCTAAATCAGTTTGTGACAAACTTAGATTTAGCTTGCAAATTTCAAGTCTTAATGGAATTAGAAAATCAGTTTGTGACAAACTTAAATTTAATGGATGATTTTGGGTTTAAAGAGTTATGATATATTGAATTCATGCTTAAGGAATATGTTCAATTTGTAATGGAAGGATGGAATGGTAAAACATGGATTGAGCTGCAGGTATGCTATATGAGGATGTGATCCTGGCTATTATTTCAATATCTTTAAATCCAGAGCTTTCTTCTAAAGATATAACGGTACTAGCTTTGGAAGCTCAAGGCGTCACACACGAATACTCAAGTGTGCTGAAATCCAACTTTGATAAGATAATTAAGGAAGATAATCTCAAAAAAAGAAGATTGCTCATTAAATTCCAAATGTTTTTGTTCTACGAGGATAATTTATAATTCAAAGTGTACATTTCAATAAAGGCCTATTAAGTTCCAAAATGAAATTACAACAAGTTGGATTCAAGGCTACAGGACGGTGATTGAAAAAAATCATGTGACAGTACATCCGAATTCTTTCGCCTCTTGTTTTCCGGCTAGAAGCTTCACGTCTCAAGCTCTCCCTACTACTCCAAAAGTAAAACTCTCCCTAGATGTTGTTTTGGTGTCAGGACACAAATTCCAAATGTCGTGTCTGTTATTGAGATGGCTGGTGCAACAAAAGAAGGTCACAATCAGAGAGGACCATAGTTATTGGTAAAGTCCAAGCTATTGCATCCATTGGAAATGATCCACATCAAGCTGTAGTCGGTAATAGTGAACCTGTACAAACAATGACAGCGGGATCAATATAACAAAATTGCAACCAATATCACTTGATGTATAACACGACACAAACTTGAAACCTGCACCTCAAAAATTCATTGTTGAGCTTCCTAAGTCAGTCTCTCAAAACCGCAATTATGTACTGCTGTTAAGCTTGTAAATCATCTGGTGAATCAGCACGCGACCCGTGAAGCTCATTTGCAAAACCATGAATAAAACTTAAGTAAAAGGAGCAGTTGACGTCGATCTTTACGGGAAGTGTTTTGTTGATTCAAGGAGTTTCATGCAGTTCCAATAGCATTCTGTCAAAGGCCATGGAAATCACCGGCTTGGGCTTTGTGGTGTACGTTTTTCACCGAACAGACTGAACCTGTCAAAAAGAAAGAAGGTGAATCTCTAAAGATAGGAAACCAGAAATAGAGGATTTGAACCATAAAAGTTTATAAATCCAAGAGAGCTACTACCGAGAGTGCAGCAATTGTCGAGGTTAATCCATCTATCCATGACTCGTCCAAGCTCCACTCTCTTTTTCACCACAGTGCAGACATCAAGCCCGAGCCATTCGCATGAAAAAGAAACAAGAAACGGTTAACGCAATTCATAGTGAACCCGACCTGCACTAAATACTCCAAAGGCGCAAGACCACGAAGGAAGTGCCAAAGAATACAAACCAGCCAACATCTTGATGCCAGAGTTTGAATAAGATATAAATAGAAACATTGAGAAGTGTTTTTTGGACAATTGAGTTTTTGACATGGCTTTGTTACATTGGGGTTGAAAATGTGCAGCAACATTTGATGAAGTCGACGAGAACTTCGATCCTTCGCCTTGAAGCTTCAAATTTATTTTGCTGCTGTTGCGGACTACTCCAACAGTATCAATTTAAAATTCCGGGTTGTGACATTTTTTCCCAAGATCATACCTGAAACAAGAGTGGAATTGTAATGTTAATAACAGAAGCTAAGCAGCATGTCGCACTACTTTTGGTCGACTTCAAGTTCAAAATGGCGCACCCAAAAGCTGTAGGAGGTTACTATGAAACATCTCCTGATTCCTCAGAACCAACACCATGCTATTAATTCTTTTGCTTCTACAAACTATCCATTCAGGCTTCATCATTAGAGTACCTCAAGGTCCTGCATTATTTTCAACAAAACAACCAGAAAATCAAACAGAAGAAAGCGACAACAAAAGAAAATATGGGAAAGCTGGAAGATTTTGTTACAAGGGAGACTTGATTCAACTCCACGAAGGGGCACATAAAATGTTAGTTGCAACCGCTGCAGTTGCAAAAGTTGCTGCAGCCACTGCAGCATCTTCTCTTTATTCTTCGTATATGCCCACTGCAGCAGTTACGCCAATGGCTCAACCGCACCTGATACAAGAAAACAGAATAATCATTAGCCCATAGAAAAATCACCACTCACTCTTACCACCAGCAACAACCGCTCAAAAATCATAAACCCTAACGGAGAATATGCTAGCATGCACTAACAGCATCTTCCATGGCCCTGCCACATTCCACCGCCAATCCCAGCCTTCTAAATTCCTACTCTCCAAGCCTCTTCTCTTCCCTCGCCTCCCTCGCGTAGTCAATTTCGGGAAATTAAAGTTCAATTCGCCCTTTTCCGTTAAGAATAGCTTCCGCCGTTTCGATGTCAAATCTTCCGTCAATTCATCATCAGAAGTTTTGGAGTCCATTGATGTTGGTGTCCCGCACAGTTCTCTGCAAAAGCATTCGGTGAAGATTCCCGTTGGTGATAGACATATTTTGGTTGAGACTGGTCACATAGGAAGGCAAGCAAGTGGTTCTGTTACAGTTACGGATGGGGAGACCATTCTGTACACCACTGTTTGTTTGAATGATACTCCTAGTGAGCCATCCGATTTCCCCCCCTTTCTGTGAATTATCAAGAGCGCTTTTCAGCTGCTGGTCGTACTAGTGGAGGTTTCTTCAAACGAGAAGGAAAAACCAAGGATCACGAGGTTCTTATTTGTAGATTGATTGATAGGCCTCTACGTCCTACTATGCCTAAGGGCTTCTACCATGAAACTCAAATATTATCTTGGGTTTTAAGCTATGGTGGATCACATGCCCCTGATTCCTTGGCCATCACAGCTGCTGGTATAGCACTTGCACTTTCAGAAGTGCCTATGTCAAAAGCAGTTGCTGGAGTTCGAGTTGGCCTCATTGGTGATAAGTATATAGTAAATCCTACAACTGAGGAGATGGAAAACTCTGAGTTGGACCTCATGCTGGCGGGCACAGATAGCGCAATATTGATGATAGAGGGTTATGGCAATTTTCTTCCTGAAGAGAAGCTACTTAAAGCTGTAGAAGTTGGTCAGGATGTCGTGCGGGCAATCTGTAATGAGGTAGAAGTCTTGGTCAAGAAATGTGGGAAGCCAAATATGATTGATGCCATCAAGTTACCTCCTCCCGAGCTTCATAAACATGAAGAGGAAGCTCTAAACCCATCAACCTCAGATTCACATCCAACAAATCCACACTCCCATGATGCAACACACTGCCATTGTCTAACAACAGTATTGAATTAAACAACTTCACAACAGTATTATAATTCTTCCCCTAGATTCAGCCATGACTTTCAGCACATCAATTATTTGAAAAGTCGAGGTACTGTCAAGACCTGAAGTTGCTTCATCAAGAATCAACACTTTTGGATCATGTATGACTTCAACACCAATGGAAACTCAACAACCATTGTACCACCTGAAAATTCCTTTCAATCTTCATGTGACATTTCTTTTCAGTTCGGTATAAACAGTGCCTGAGAGTATCGTTCCAAAACTCGTTCAAATGGACAGCATCATATCTGCAAAATAATGTTCACGCAGGATTATGAATTCTTAAGTGTCACACCAAAATACACATGAAATTCACAGAAGCACTTTAAAGAAGCCAGCATTAATTTTGCAATGATTGTTAGGTTTATCAAAACAACATCCCAATATCATTGCAGTCTTTTTTTTAGCAAAACTCAGAGACATCTCAGGTTGAATCTCATGGGTCACAGACCTGAAAATGTTGGATCATTGGGGGATGATGACATGGATGGTGGCAGGAGTGACACAAATATTGCCTGTATCGTAGAGACAAGTTCAGCGCTATCAACTTTTTAATCTCGGTATTTCATTGGACCCTGTTGAGGCTGTCCATCAATGTTATAATGTGCAAATGCATTCGAAGAAGGAAATAAATATGAATATGAGCTGCAGCAGTCCAACAACTGAGTTGCCACTTTTGTCCTGAAAGATTGAATAACATGAGCATTACAAAAGCGTATTCAGAAGAAGCATTCAGAAATGATGTAAAAATACTCGAGAAGATACTGACATTCTTCCATCTCATCACCAAAGCCTACCGAAATTTAGAGTGACCGAGCCATGAGAAAAAATGTGATGCAAGGAGGCACGAATGATCCAATAACCGTTTTTACGCATAGAAGACTATACCTACCTCCTGAGTTGCTGCATAAGAATAGAAGAAGTCAGACAGTATGATCACATTAGCCAAGAATTTTCAGCAAAAGTTTGATGAGTTTAAAACATTGACTAAAGCAAGAACAATGTACTGGAGCAAAAATAATGAAACCAAGGATACATGGCCAAGTTCATAAGTTTCAAATAATCCATATTCAAAAGAAATTAATTCAAATACAATGTTAAAGCAAAAGTTATGTTTTTACGCAGTAAAATCCCAAGAGTTTACACAACACAAAATAGGTGGGACCACAAAAAGCTAAATTTGCAAAAAGACAAACGAGGCAAATACACAGCAAATACATAGCAGAGATAGTGGTTGCAGACACAGTACAATCCCTAACGGATTTGTACCACAAAATTTCACCTCACCGCCACACGTATTACTCAAAAAACCCTAACCTCACACGTATGAGATTTTTGGTATAAAAAGTGCACTATTCATTCTGAAGAGGAGGCGGTAGCGGAGAAGAGAAAAAACCCTAAAATTTTTCTACACAGAGAAAGATACCAGCGAGGTTCTGCGAAACATAAATCCTCAAAATACCAGAACCATTCAAGAGTTCGCTTTAAGAGTTGATAAAGCTTCACACTGAAGCTCTAGACAACTTGAACTAAGCCGCATCACCATAACCAACGGAAACGGGGGCGAGCTGAAGCGAGCTTAAATTTAAAGTGCACGAGCAGAGAAGAAGAAAAGCGGAAAAGAATAAAGCACGAGCCAGTTACCTCACAGATTCACCATCGGATTAGCTCTGAGCTGGTGAGTCCCCTTTTTACTTGATTTTCGCTTGCTGTCGTATGAACACCATGACTTATTTGCTTGAATACATTACTCTATGTATTGTTCAAACTCTGATTTTCGATTTGGGTATTTTTCTCTTTACTATGGGTTATTAGTTTGATTTAGGGTTTATTTGTTAAGATTAAGTTGAAGTTAAGGATTTGTGGGTAATTTGGGGATAAGTTTCAGAAAAAAGACGAGGGAATGTTTAGAGAAAAAGGATAGGATGAAGAAACATTGCGAGAGGAGAGAGGTATTCAGCGTGAAGGGAGATGTGGAGATTTTTGGTTTAACGTTTTAATAAAATAGGTTTTCCCTTTTTTTTCCTAGATTTATTTTTCAACATTTGAATGTGGCCTTCCCTAGATAGTCAGGTTTTTATCAAATTGGTTGAAGTGCCTATTTAACTTTGAGTACTTTGGAATTTGTTTTTATTCATTATCTGTTTTGGGGAAGAATTTGAAGAGTTCACGGCAATTATGGTAAAGGCAGGGGTCAAGAGGCGCATTAGGGATTGATTAAGTTAATACTTGTTATTATCTTTGTTTCAACCCATGTTTTTAGGGCATAATATTAGTAGATAGTTGTTTGTTTGTTTTTTTAATGATTTCTAAATTAAATTAATAGGGAATTACTTATCCGATTGAATAATTTTAATTAATTATTTAATATAGTTAATCCTAAAAATGCTATCTTTATATTTAAAATCATAATCTTTTTAAATTAAGCCATTTTCCTAAATGAATTCAATGAAAATGGTGGGTCCTTGGAGTCTAGCACTCCTTGGATCCTTAAGTGATCGCTCTTAAGGTGCACACCTTGGGTTGTGGTCACTTCGTCTTTCATCCTTAAAATATCCAATCTCGTTGTTAAACCTCTCAAAATTAGCAAACCCTAATTCAAGCAATATGTCAACCTTAGTTTTAACCCCTACGTTAGTTATTTTCAAATTATTTTCATAATTAAAATCACGAAAGTATCGAGTTCTTGGAGTCGTGCATTCCTTGAATTCGAGAATGGTTACTATCAAGGTGTACACTTTGAATATTATATCATTCGAACTTTCGTTCCTAAAACACTTCTTAATTATTTGGACCAATACTTTCACTGTCCAACAAACATATTTCATAATTAATGGAATGAAAAAGATGTCGTTGGGATCTAGCATTCCAATGATATCCCGATTAATTGGTTGCGAGGCCGACGTCTCGTTTATCGATTAGTCGTCATTCCTCCTAAAGTTTTCAACCCATCTAACCTCGTTCCTCACCCTCGTGCGATCGAGTCTAAACCCTAATACGCGTCTAAACGACCGTCAAACACAGTTTTCGAAAATGAATGAAAAAGGTATCGTTGGAATCTAGCATTCCAGTAATATCCCGATTAATTGGTTGCGAGGCCGACGTCTCGTTTATCGATTAGTCGTCATTCCTCCTAAAGTTTTCAACCCATCTAACCTCGTTCCTCACTCACGTGTGATCGAGTCTAAACACTAGTATGTTTCTAAACCATACGTCAAATTCAAATCATTTTTCTTAATCAAATTACGAAAGAACTGAGTTCTTGGAGTCTCGCACTCCTTGAATTCTTGAATGACAACTATTGAGGCGTACGCCTTAGGTAGCGTGTCATTCGACCTTTCGTCTAAAACACGCGCCTTAACTATTTGGACAAGTATTCATTGTCCATTCAAATACAATTTCCTAATTAATTGAATGAAAAAGGTGTCGTTGGGATCTAGCATTCCAACGATATCCCGACTAATTGGTTGCGAGACTGACGTCTCGTTTATCGAGTAGTCGTCATTCTCCCTCAAAATATCTAACCGACCTTATCTTCTTCGCCTCCGTGCAATCGAAACCCTAACTACCTATTCAACCTAACTCTCTCTTTCTCGTCCCCGTGCGATTGAACTATCCTTTAAACACAATTCTCTTTCCTCGCCCTCGTGCGATTTCCAACTCAAACACCTTACCTAGAACATTGTTTAGTCCCTTCTTCCGCGCATAACAAACTCGCGCTTCAGCCTCCCCTAGCGAGCAGACAAGCCAATGTTTAGCAGTTAGAATGCGACCTAAACACTCGTTCGTTCCCATACCAAACCTTTTTACCGTAGTTAGCCGAACTACGGCTGCTCTGATTCTTCATTCTCTTCTGAATGCAAGATACGTAGGCACGAGGTTGCGATGATCTTGGCGAGCACAACCCCCTCTTTTTCCCGTAGTCCCACGAACTACGAATGCTCTGATTTTCCACTTCTTACAAGTGAAGATACGTAGGCACAAGGGCCCCAATCCTTGGCGAGCACCCTATCTTAAAACCACCTTTCCCCCCTATAGGAGAAACCTTAGAAGAAAACAATTAAGCATAGTTAACTTTACTCTCGAATCGATCAAGAGGTTCCCGTTGAGTACAACGGACGTAGAGGGTGCTAATACCTTCCCTCTGCGTAATCGACTCCCGAACCTAGAATATTGGTTGCGATGACCATGTTCTTATCTCCTTAAAGGTTTTATCGATATTTTCCTATTCCATCCTTGGAATGAATAAAGTTCGGTGGCGACTCTGTTTCGAACAGTATTTTTCCGCGGTCATCGCGAGGATCGTATTTTTCGAGGTACGACAGATGGCGACTCTGCTGGGGAATACGCATTGCCCTATGCAAGAGAGAGTCAAGCCTAACTTGACTCGATTCGAGAATACTAATCTTTTCTTAATTGTTTTCTTATGTTTATTTTCTCTTATTGCTTTCTCTTTCTATTATATGCTCTGTATTATATTTACTTGTCGGATTCTGGGAAAATATCACAAGTAAAGCTCTACACCCGAGCTTTGGAAAAAGAAGAGAGAAAACCTAGTTTAGAATTGGTAGTAATTAGTGTTAGTCCCCAAGGACTCGCTCCTTGTGGGCCTAGCATGAAAGCTCCTCCAGAATAGATCTTTTCGTAGATCCTATCGTAACGCAGCTAGCCTGTTGCACGATTTGATTCATGAAGGGTCCGTGACTCTGGGAACCGCTCTTAGAACCAGTTTCTATATTGGTAGTCGCGTAGTGTTAGTCTCCGAGGACTCGCTTCTCGTGGGCCTAGCATGAAGACTCCTCTCGAGAGAGATCCTTTGGTATTACCATCGTAATGCAGCTCGCCTGTTGCGTGATGGTGGTATCATTGGTATCTATGACCTTGAGAACCCCATCCGTCAACGTAGAAACTATCCCGTGAGTGGGTCATTTTGGGTAAAGAATCTAGAGCTATCTTTGTACCTATTAGGA